CCCCCCCATCTTCTTCAATAGGAAATATCGTGACTACTATTCAAGATAGATGGGTAATTTTTTCATCGAATGCAAGGCAAATGAAAAAGCTTTAAGACAATACCATTAATTCAACATGCCCAAAAATTGACCAGCGCCTGATTCCACTGTGTCGTGACACATTTTAATAGAGACATACAAAAATAGAAAAAAACTCAAGAGACAGAGGGTTTTTATACAAGTATACTCTTCGCCAGTGAGAGAGAGCATGAGAATCACTCTAACTCAGCATGTGATTAATGAATCTTGACAGAACATTTTGGCTCATAGGAAAACAGCATGAAGTGTTTCATCAGCCTCAAAAATACTACTGAAGATTGGTAGTACTTTTGACAAACTATCAAGCTAACAATGCATAGATTTTCATGAAAAATATCAACCAATGCTTGTCGGGTGCGCAGCAATTCTCTTTTAGAAATACATGTATAAGTATGAACAATAATATGATGCATCTAAACTTCTTAGAAAACAGTAATTTTCTTTTGAAAAAAAAAAATATGTGCAATAAAATGGTATGCACATCTCCAGTTCATGAGAAATCTATTATCTATTTGTGGTGGACGAATTTTGCTATTCAAAAGGCTTTTTAATGGCTGCATCGATCGACATGCGGTTTTCACCGAAAGAATCTTTAAAATATTCTCCAGATCATGATGCCCTTGGTTTTTTCAGTTTTGAGACAGTTTTGCCGCAAAATGCTAAATTTCTTTATTTCGCAGATCGCTTTTGTAGGTCGACACTTCTGTCTTTGCAATTTTAGAAAATCCGGAGGTGATATATCGCGAGGCGCATTTTGTTTTGAGAGTATAGATCTAGACCTTCGAATTTTTTGCATCTCTCAAGATTTATTGCCACATTCCAGTAGAGTATAAATATAGTAGGCCAATGACTTTTAGTTGATATTAAAGCATTGATCATTCCTTTCATCGAAAGGGGGCCCAGCTAGTATTACATAAATTTTCTTTGAACAAAAATAGTGTGTACCATGCAGACACTAGAGGCCTTTACACATCTTTTAATTCAACAATAACTCACAGAAAAACACTTCATTCAACTCACAGGAACTGCATCAGTCAAAGGAAAACCGATTATGATAAACGTAAACAAAAAATAAATTTTAAGCCACTGAAGGTGAAAAATAGTTGTTTAATATAAATATATATATACAAATATCACATCACTCACAATGATCTTAACCCTTTCTTGACCTATATGATGTACACCATTCGTCATGCTTTGTGAAGCACGAGGACCATGATGACAAACGCTGTTCATCATAGGTTGTATTCTGTTTACTGCTTCTATTAGATGCATTTCGTAAAACTATTCTCAGATTCACATTGGGGAATATTTTTTCTGCACTAAGAAATCTTTTCCTTTTAGATAAAGTTAGTAGTATTTGCAAACCGGGTCTATTTATAAGGAAACTGACCACTAAATCTAGCACTACTCTGTGTCCCTGCGGATCCAAAACTGTGTCCGGTGAAGCACAAACTGACCCTGTGTCATGAACGGGTTAATTAGCTCAGTTATGTTGAACTATAACGTGGATGACCCTGGCCCCAAACCCCAGAGGATTATTCTAGAACGTGAGTACTTATGTGAGAACACAAAGCTCTCCTCCCTATCGGACCAACCCTAGTGGAGAAGGATTTCCCATTTGTACATCTTTACTCTCAGCTAACCTCACATTGTTGAAAGGGTTTTGTTGGGGGTTTTTTGGTAAGTGTTTTTAGCACTCACAACTGCATAAGGTCATACGAGCGCACAGGACACATTAAACATTTTCAATTTGGTAAGAATTTTGAATTTTGCGCCGGTGGCTGCTGACGCCTACTCTTATTGATTTTACGATCACCAAAGGATCTTTAACGCGTGCAACTTGTACACGAGACCTCTCAGGCTTTTCGCCCTTATTTGAGAAGGCTAAGTGTTAGATCTTACCTACCATAAGATCAGGTGTGTGGCTGAGAGACAGCACTAAGAAGGAGCCATGGAGTAGCAGTAGAAAGGCTGCAGAAAGGAGGGGGCAAAAGGGAGAGGGGGAGGGGAAGAAAGTAGAGACCAAAGCAGACGACAGAACCTAGTTAGAGAGCAGGAAAGTAGGGGAAAGGACAAAATTTTAGAGAAGAAAATTTTCCGTCGCTGTCAGGTTTCAAACTCAGGATCTATTGAATGAGAGGTGAAACTGTAACCTCTAGTCAAAACCAACAGAGACCCTGTTGAAAGGGCTGTTATATCATACAATACATGACCTCAAATACAACAGGACAACTTTTTCATAACAAATAGATGAACAATTAATACAACAATAGCATAGTTGAACATGTTGATAACAGTCACTCAAGATCACAGAGAAAAGTGACCATTATAGACAGGTGGTTGCTTTGGACAGGGTCTAAGTTTGGGGTCACTTACTACATGCATGAAACAGAATTCTTACATGGAAAATATAAGTTATTTGTAACCACCCAACAACAGCATATGGACTACGGTACAGCAAAACATTTCACTTCCATAAAAATTGTTATCTATCATAAGAGCTTTCAAAAAAAAAAGAAATAAGGCAAACACTCCTGGATTAAGTGGTCATCCATAAAACAAAACAACTCATGAGAAAACTAACAAACAAAAACCCCCTGACCCAGGCAACCAATGACCACTGCAAGACAGACACCAGTAAAAAAATGCATGGCATTTACCGAGGTCAGCAGCAGTGCTTTAATATTGGCCGTCTCATGTAAGGTGTAGGCTGCAGTGGGCAGTGCCTAGGCAGGCAAGAAGTTCAGCTGCAACGTACACACTCAGTCTGAGGACAGGCTGGTGGGAAATTTTTGTAGTCAGTGACCCCCATGAGAAGGTTCTTTCGGCCAACTTGCCATAAAAATGACTGACCATTACCGCGTTGGACAAGGGCCACTATGAACAGGTTAAAAATATAGGAAAAATGCACAAGTGTCATGGAACAGTTGCAGTGTGTACAGGTGACTACTATAGAAAGGCGACCATTCAGGGCAGTTTTGACTGTATATTATGTTGCTGATTATCTATGAGCCACTTCTTATTGAGAAATGTGCGCACAAACCTTTTTCATACAAACCTCTCCACACCGCCACTACACACCTAAAAGAATAAGTGCAAGTAATATCCAACATTTTTAAAAATGTTTCAGAAACTTGTATCAATTAGCCATTTGAAAATCGCTCAAGCAAATAAGTAATTCTCATTCTGATGTGACATACACATCAGCCAGACTAACAACCACCTGCAACCAAGGCTTAAAGACTTAAAGTTCAGGAATTGTCAAGTTCCCTCCCCTCACCCTGCTCCCCAATCATTCCCCACTCATCCACCCCAAAATTCCCAGATTGATGTGTGTCATAAAAACAGACACAGTGAATGCTCTGAATTATGGAAGAAACAGCACAAATAAAATCATAATATGTGTTTAGAAAAGAAAATTGGAATTTACACAAAAATATTAGAACCCTCAAAGGTCAGAGCTAATATCCCCATCAGAATTAGAATACATGACCTGAAAATTGTCCACCATGCTATTCTTTATTTTTGATGACATTTGAGTGTGCAATACATACGTGTATATCAATAATGAAAAGGAATTCAAAGATAACCAATTCCAATAAAATAGCACATCATTCCAATCATGTTTTTAAAAAAATCTAATACATTGCGCCCCCCCCCCCCCCCCCCCCCCCCCCCTTTTTTTTTTTTGTTTCACGGGAATAAAAAAAAAGAACCATTTCATTTCTCATCCATTAGTGCATCCTTCCATCATGGTAAAAGAAACACCTCTATTACACATCCCACATCCTCCCAAACCCCCTCCATCCACCTCCACATCCACCTCCCCAAAGCTTCAACCTAGTCCTCCCACTTCTCATCCAGACCCCCCTCCTCCACCCCCCCCCCTCTTTCCACACTACTCAATCCTCCCTCCTCAACTCTCCCTGCATTCCACCAACAACACAGAGAGTCCTTGACATGAATCACAAGAACTTGAGGGCAAACCTCAGCGTTGTCTGCGGTGCCGGCACCTGCTTGAGCAGCTTTGTGTTCCCATTGGTTTCCGTCTTCTCATGGGCGTACTCAGCAACAGCCGCATTCACTCTCAGAAGGATACTATTGAGGTCATCTCTGCATGGAAGAGAGAGAAAAGAGAAGGCAGGGTAGGAGAAGTAAGGGGAAGAAAGGGAGGGAGAGAGATATTGAGACCAGTGCTGGTTTCACAAAATAAGAGATATTTTAATGTTTTAAAGAAGACTTCTGCAACTGCTGGTTACCTATTTTGAACACACAATAAAGGGTACAATGGTAAACTGTACAGTTGTGAATGGTAATCTTGCAAATAGAAGAGGTGCTTTCCCAACAGTTGGAATAGATGCCTCTCTAAAATGGTTTGCCAGTTCACCAATACCAAATCAAAGGATCAAAGAACAGGATAAATATTATGAATATTATAGTAAGCGAAAATGGTTTACACCTCTTTGACATATTCAGATCATTGAAGAGGCAGCCTGCTTCCACCCTGCCTATCAGGCATGGAAGCATCGAAAGGAATAGATGTATGGATATGTGGATGGGTGTGGATGTGTGGAAGGGAGTGGATGTGTGGATGGGAGTGGACAGTCTGTGATATAAGTTGCATGTGCTGGAGAATTATTTTGTAGAAATTCAAAGTCTACATGTTGAAGAAAAGCAAGAAAAGATACATAATGAATGACAATGAGGTACAATTCGTAAAAAAAATAAAAGTTTCTTCTCTCTCCTGAAAAATTTCACTTTCTGGGTTTAGATCAGTTAAACAGCTTGCCTATGACATTATTCAAACGCCAGATGAGGCGTCGGTAATCTTGTGGTTATACTACCGAACTCATAATCGTGAGGTTGAGAGTTCGGAGGTTCAAGACTCAGGCCCGACGTTGTATCCTTGGGAAAAGCACTTTACACAAAATTTCCTCACTTCCACTAGATTGGAATGGGTACTCGACTATAGACAGTAAAATATCGGCATGTCTGTGTGTTAATGTTTTAGCACCTATAAAATGGCAGCTTGCACTGTATTATTCCCAGGAAGTTGAACATTGATTCAGAATGCTATGAGGTCAGGTGGGGTAATAATGAGGAATAACATAGAGGTTGCTGTTGAGTGGGAATTAACGCTAAACAAATGCCGTCTATTATCATTATTATTATAATTATTATTAGTATTACTTACATTTCTGCATACTTGTCCAGGATCTTGGTGAGCTCAGTGATATACCAGGTACCTTGGGAACGACTGCGGTAGGACACATAGTCCTGTACTGTCGCATAACCAATAAGGAAGTCCGCCTCATCCGGCAGGAACCTCATATTTCGTCCAGGCCCATCTGCTTCTATATCACACAAGAGCTCCACCGCTGTGAAAGGTCCAAAAAAGTCTTAAAGAATTTACGGAAAAGGCAGAAAAGTTTGGTAAAAGGAAGGTCAGCTTTGGGGAGAGGGTGTCATTGACCATTTGAAGGATGATAAAATGTGTGAGAGGGCAAAAGAATTTAGATTCAGCTGCCAATCAAGATAGTGGCATTTCCGGGAGAATGTTCCAATTATTAACAAAGTTTCACCAAGTACCTCATTTTCTCAAGCTCTAAAAGGTGTGCATGTATTTTATAATAATTATTCCACCTTTAAATTTGAGTTGGCAGTTATAGTAGAATGCCACCAGTACTACCTATGCCTGTCCTATCAGTCCGCAGTTTCTGTAGCTTATTATAAGTTTTTAAAGACGATACAAGCATCGTCATGCCAATTTGCTTTTTGATGCCCAAACTGCGGTCAACTCACCCTGCTGGGTAGAGGTTCCCTGGCAACAACCAAGGAAGAACAGCTTGGGCTTCTCCAATAACGACGGACAATTCGTGCCTCTGGGGAGTGGACAGAGGACAAGTTCTGCGGGGACAAGCACTTTACACCAAGTGGTAGAGGGAACAAATGTCTGAAGGGACAAGTAACAAAGGTGACAAGTGACAGAGGGGACAAGTGACAGAGTGACAGAGGGTACAAATATCAGAGGAGACAAGTAACAGAGGGGACAAGTGACAGAGTGACAGAGGGTACAAATAACAGAGGGGACAAGTAACAAAGGGGACAAGTGACAGAGTGACAGAGGGTACAAATAACAGAGGGTACAAATAACAAAGGGGACAAGTAACAAAGGGGACCATTGACAGAGGGGACAAGTGACAGTGACAAAGGATACAAATATCAGAGGGGACATGTGACAGACAGGACAAGAGACAGAGTGACAGAGGGTATAAATGGCCGAGGGGACAAGTGACAGAGGGGACAAGTGTCAGACAGGACAAAAGACAGAGGGGACATGTGACAGACAGGACAAGAGACAGAGGGGACAAATAACAGAGGGGACAAGTGACAGACAGGACAAGTCACAGAGGGTTGATTTGATTGATTGGGTAGATGTTTTACGGCACTATCGACACAATTTTGGTCATCTAAGCGCCATCAGGTTTCACCGTTACAAAATC